GCTTCGGTGCATAAAATCCGCGCTTTGGCCGTGCTTTTTCCCCCCCGTGTGACCGGGGCCAAGTGTTCCCTCTAAGCTAAGCCTCCAGCTCACACATTTTTGTCCCAGCTCAGGAAGGGATGGCTCCAGAGCAAACTAATTTATGCAGTAGCCAAATCGCTCGCTCACAACTTTAGTGCCAGTAGCTCACAAAGTAGATTTTTTGCTCACAAACATTTATTGAGATGAGCAGCTCTTTGTTTGGGTGGCGAGTCTGCCCTTTAGTGGAAGACACTTCTCCAAATACTGGAGGATCAAGTGTTTGTTGGGGTCTAGTAGAAGTTGGGCACCCTCCATTGTTTGTTTGTATGTTTATTTGATTTTTATCCCGCCCTCCCCTGCAAGCGGGCTCAGGGTGGGTCACACAGCAGTCATATATAATAGATTAAATAATTAAAACAGTAAAGCACAAAAATTAATAAATCACAGTGAAATTCTAATAAAACCCAAAGATGGCAGCCTGATTCCGGGAGTTCAGACGGGCAGCGGCTTTCCAGGGTCTCAGGCAGAGGGATCTTTCACATCACCTGTCGCCTGAATTTTTTAAAGTGGTGATGCCTGGGATTGAACCTGCAACCTTTAGCACGCAAAGCAGAGGCTCTACCACTGAGCCACAGTCCCTCCCCATGACAGGACACAGCTAGTGGAAGCCATCAGCGGCTGGAAGGTGTGGAGTCAGAATAGAGGACCAACATCTGGAATGCTTTCCCCACCAACCCACCACCACCACCGTCTTCACTACCAGTAGGGGCTACGTACGACCACCTTAACTAGCTTCCTTCAAGAGGCACCTGAACTCCCAGAATTAGGCTGCGGTGGCTCAAGTGGTTAAGGCGCTGAACTGCAGGCTGTGGAAGGTCGGTAGTTCGAGACCCGAGTGTGCCGCATGACGGAGTGAGCTCCCGTCTCCAGTTCCAGCTCCTGCCAACCTAGCAGTTCGAAAGCAAGAAATGGCAAGTAGA